GAGGACCTGCCGGAGAGCCAGTTCGCTTATCCTGGGGACAAACAAGGAGGACCAACCGGAGAGTCAGTTCGCTTATCCTGGGACAAAGAAGGAGGACCTGGGGACAAAGAAGGAGGACCTGCCGGAGAGCCAGTTCGCTTATCCTGCAGACAAAGAAGGAGGACCTGCCTGTCTGGGGACAAAGAAGGAGGACCTGCCCAAAAACCAGTTCGCTTATCCTGGGGACAAAGAAGGAGGACCTGCCGGAGAGCCAGTTCGCTTATCCTGGGGACAAAGAAGGAGGACTTGCCGGAGAGTTCGCTTATCCTGGGGACAAAGAAGGAGGACCTGCCGGAGAGCCAGTTCGCTTGTCCTGGGAAAGGAGGACCTGCCGGAGAGCCAGTTCGCTTATCCTGGGGACAAAGAAGGAGGACCTGCCGGAGAGCCAGTTCGCTTATCCTGCAGACAAAGAAGGAGGACCTGCCGGAGAGCCAATTCGCTTATCCTGGGGACAAAGAAGGAGGACCTCCTGCCGGAGAGCCAGTTCGCTTATCCTGGGGACAAAGAAGGAGGACCTGCCGGAGAGCCAGTTCGCTTCTCCTGGGGACAAAGAAGGAGGACCTGCCGGAGAGCCAGTTCGCTTATCCTGGGGACAAAGAAGGAGGACCTGCCGGAGATGCAGTTCGCTTTCATGGGGGGACAAAGAAGGGAGGACCTGCGGAGAGCCAGTAGGCTTATCTGGGGACAAAGAGGAGGACCTGCCGGAGAGCCAGTTGCTTCTCTGGGGACAAAAAAAGAAGGAGGCACCGAGAGGATCTGCCGGAGAGCGAGTTTCGCTTATCCTGGGGACAAAAGCAAGGAGACCCTTCCGGAGCGGAGCCAGTTTTCGTTATCCTGGGGACAAAGAAGGAGGACATGCCGGAGAGCCAGTTCGCTTATCCTGGGGACAAAGAAGGAGGACCTGCCGGAGAGCCAGTTCGCTTATCCTGGGGACAAAGAAGGAGGACCTGCCGGAGAGCCAATTCGCTTATCCTGGGGACAAAGAAGGAGGACCTGCCGGAGAGCCAGTTCGATTATCCTGGGGACAAAGAAGGAGGACCTGCCGGAGAGCCAGTTCGCTTATCCTGGGGACAAAGAAGGAGGACCTGCCGGAAAGCCAGTTCGCTTATCCTGGGGACAAAGAAGGAGGACCTGCCGGAGAGCCAGTTCGCTTATCCTGGTGGAAAAGAAGGAGGACCTGCCGGGGCGCCAGTTCGCTTATCCTGGGAACAAAGAAGGAGGACCTGCCGGAGAGCCAGTTCGCTTATATTGGGGACAAAGAGGAGGACCTGCCGGAGAGCCAGTTCGCCTATCCTGGGAACAATGAAGGAAGACCTGCGAGACCAGTTCGCTTACCCTGGGGACAAAGACGGAGGACTGCCGGAGAGCCAGTTCGCTTCCGGAGAGGCCCGTTCGCTTCTACTGGGACAAAGAAGGAGGAAGCGGCGGCAGTCGCTTATCCTGGGGACAAAGAAGGAGGACCTGCCGGAGAGCCAGTTCGCTTAGCCTGGGGACAAAGAAGGAGGACCTGCCGGAGAGCCAGTTCGCTTATCCTGGGGACAAAGAAGGAGAACCTGCCGGAGAGCCAGTTCGCTTATCCTGGGGACAAAGAAAGAAAACCTGCCGGAGAGCCAGTTCGCTTATCCTGGGGACAAAGAAGGAGGACCCGCCGGAGAGCCAGTTCGCTTATCCTGGAGAACCTGCCATAGAGCCAGTTCGCTTATGCTCATAACAAAGAAGGAGGGCCTGCCGGAGAGCAAGTTCGCTTATCGTGGGGACAAAGAAGGAGGACCTGCAAGAGAGCCAGTTCGCTTATTTAGGGGACAAAGAAGGAGGACCTGCCGGAGAGCCAGTTCGCTTATCCTGGGGACAAAGGAGGAGGACCTGCCGGAGAGCCAGTTCGCTTATCCTGGGGACAAAGAAGGAGGACCTGCCGGAGAGCCAGTTCGCTTATCCTGGGGACAAAGAAGGAGGATTGGCTACAACACCTTCATCGTCGCGGCAAAGAACGACGACTTCCCGCAGGGCGACGACGCTTATCCAGGGGAGAAAGAAGGAGGACTTCTTGAAGGGCTAGATCACAACAGGACGCCACGACGGGCTAGTTTGCTGGCTGTGTGGAAGCGACCTGGCCGCAGCCAGGGAGTCTGGGGTGACCCAGGTCTGCAGTGACTCACGGCTGGAGTGACTCAAGGCTGGGGTGACTCAGTTCTGGCAAACCCAGTCCCGAGGTGACTCAGCTCTTGAAGTGATCCAGCCTTGGGGTGATGCAGTCTTGGGGTGGCCTAGCCTTCGGCAGATTTTGATTTCTACTGTTGTCTAGTATGACCAACCGGAACCTACGAAACACTTGCGTGGACTTGGCTACAACACCTTCCTTGTTGCGGCAAAGAACGACGACTTCCCGCAGGGCGACGACGCCCATCCACCGGAGAAAGAAGGAGGCCTTCGTGAAGGGCTTGATCACAACAAGACGTCCCGACGGGCTAGTTTGCTGGCTGTGTGGAAGCAACCTGGCCGCAGTCAAGGAGTCTGGGGTGACCCAGGTCTGCAGTGACTCACGGCTGGAGTGACTCAAGGCTGGGGTGACTCAGTTCTGGCAAACCCAGTCCCGAGGTGACTCAGCTCTTGAGGTGATCCAGCCTTGGGGTGATGCAGTCTTGGGGTGGCCTAGCCTTCGGCAGATTTTGATTTCTACTGTTGTTAGTATGACCAACCGGAACCTACGAAACACTTGCGTGGACTTGGCTACAACACCTTCCTTGTTGCGGCAAAGAACGACGACTTCCCGCAGGGCGACGACGCCCATCCACCGGAGAAAGAAGGAGGCCTTCGTGAAGGGCTAGATCACAACAGGACGTCCCGACGGGCTAGTTTGCTGGCTGTGTGGAAGCAACCTGGCCGCAGTCAAGGAGTCTGGGGTGACCCAGGTCTGCAGTGACTCACGGCTGGAGTGACTCAAGGCTGGGGTGACTCAGTTCTGGCAAACCCAGTCCTGAGGTGACTCAGCTCTTGAAGTGATCCAGGCTTGTGGGGTGATGCAGTCTTGGGGTGACCTAGCCTTCAGCAGATTTTGATTTCTTGTGTTGTTAGTATGACCAACCGAAACCTACGAATCATTTGCGTGGATTTGGCTACAACACCTTCATCGTCACGGCAAAGAACGACGACTTCCCGCAGGGCGACGATGCTTATCCAGGCGAGAAAGGAGGAGGACTTCGTGAAGGGCTAGATCACACCAAGACGTCCCGACGGGCTAGTTTGCTGGCACTGTGGAAGCGACCTGGCCGCAATAGACTCTTGTCTGCAAGTGGTGCGATACAGAACGAGCCGCCTGCATCAATTTACGGAGTGCGCAATGTACAGTGGGGTAGCTACGTGCGTCTTGATTTTGGAGCCCCTGGCATCCTCAGCTGTGAAAGCACAAAAGCTGCACTGTGTGCATGTCTGGCGTGTCGCACAGTCTCTGTCGAGTTCAGCAGCCATCCGGGACACGTGTTCCGCCTGCCGTGCCGAGCAAAAGCAGCAGCAGTCAGACTTGCCCTACTTTTGCTTCGCCTCGTCTTCTGCAGCCATGGGGAAATGGACACCGCGGAAATCGGAGGGCAAGCGCGTAGCGAAAGAGGACAAGACCAAGGGGAAGTATCCGCCGGGCATTCCCTTCTACAAGCTACCCGTGAAGGCATTCCTCCGAAGCTGGCCCGACGAGGATGGTTGCATGCTCTTGACGGAGAAGCAAGCTCCTTCCGAATATTTCACTGCTTCGAAGTTGGCAGAGCAGCTGACAGCCGAATCTTCCGAGTGCGTTGCTCGGCTAGGCTTGGGAGTCAGCCTGGCCGCCGCTGCGCTGGAATCTTGTGCAGCTGCTTTGGCGGTGCTGCCGGCAGCGTCGGCCGACAAGAAGTATGGACAGACCGGGATTCCCGCTGTCAAGAAGATTCTGGAAGCCCTCCGTGCCTCGCTCGCTGTGGCCAACATGACCAATAAGGAATGTGCAGATGCTTCCTCGGCGTCGCCCCAAATTGAGAAGGTGCTTAAGAAGTTGGGGAAGAAGGACGCGTTGAAGCAGCAAGTCAAGGACTTTGCGCGCCTGGCGGACACCAGCTCCCGCATGTACGCAGGTGCCATGGCCGGCTTGGAGCTCTGCACCCTGGCGGGTAACCCGAAAGCTTGGGCAAAGAAGATCCCGGACGAGCCGAAGCAGGACAAGGCCGTACAGAAGTTCATGCGCAAGAAGACTCTGGAGACTTGTGCGCAAGCCGTGGCGACGACCAACGCTGCTCGCTTGGAAGCCAAGGCTCCGCGAAAGAAGCGGGCTTTCGGAGACAGCAGCAATGACGGAGACGCCAGCGAAGAGGACTCCCGCTCCGAGTCCGACCAGAACTCGGGCGGCAAGGGATCTGCCACCGACAGCGACAAGGAGTCGCGCTCGTCTTCTGCTTCCAAAGAAAGCCAGAGGAGGAAGAAGAAGGCAAAGAAGCCGAAGGCTCCGAAGAAGCCTGCGGCGCCGGAGAAGCCACCTGCGGAGAAGCCGCCTGCAGTTGATCTCCGTGTGGATGACGAGGAGGATGATGTAGAGGAGGAAGCTGCTGCAGATCCACATCTGTCCTGGGAAGAATCCGAGGTGGTCAAATTTGCCGAGGAGCTGCAGACTATGGTTGCAAACCAGAACAACAAGAAGGAGAGGCTGCCGTTGTCTGCGCTGGTCGCACTGCTGGATAACGTGCCCGAGCCCGTGCTGACGGAGCATGGACTTGCCAAGGTTCTGCAGACGTTGAAGCAGATGGCGCGCCTACCGAAGAAGGAGAAGCTGATCAACATCTTCGATAGCATGCAGGGTATGGCAGCCAAAGCAAAGAGCCTGCACGAGCAGGTCCACCCTGCGCCGGACGCCGGCTTGGCAGCAGAGGTAGAAGCACCGCCAGAAGCGCCTGCCGCGGTCGAGGAGGTCACGGAGAATGAGCCGGGAGGCGATTGAATGCCCGTGTAGGCTGTCGTCATGTTCCAAGGCGTGGCAGCGCAAGTATAGCACAGGCACAGCCCGCCCTTTTTCGAGTTGTACAGCATTTACCGACCAACGCTTCACCGTACCATTTTCCATGCAAAATCAAAGGCTTGCCTCATCATGCTGGTTCTTTGCTGCTGTTTGAACAGGCTTGAGTGGACAGACTTGAGTTGCGCCGTTCTGCCCTGGTTCGACGAGGTCTTCAAGTTATTATACCACTTGTAGGAATACTTGGGGCGATCTCGCGATCCCAACTGTGCAAGCCATGCCCTCCGTGTGTCCTGGCGCAGCGAGCTCTGCTTGCTGCTTCTCTGCGCAGAGCCCCGGCCGCGCAGCGCACCGAGGCAAATTTCCAACATGTGCACCTTGACGGCAGTTGAACCGAATCAATGCTTTTGCGCCCACAGTCGCGAGTTGCCCGTTGTGAACCGAGCCTGAGGTCTTCTGTGATCCGCACCGTCTGGCCACAGCTTGTATCCAGATACGATCACGCGGACAAATCAAACGCTTGCTGCTGGCCTTGACGCCTGAGTGTCAGCTTCTTGCCCTGGAGCGTGTGCCGGAGGAATTCCGTGGGTATTTCCAAACAGAGCTGGCCAAGCCAAAGTTGTGCATGGGCATGGACGGCGAGCGATGCACCTTTGCGCGTGGAGGTCCTGTTCGAGTGAAGGGTCAGGCCGCGCGCTGCCTCTTCTGTCGACCCGAAGATCTTTGGCCGCTCTGCGAAGACGACGCGGGCAAGCGAGAGGCAGGACTTTTGCATGCCGAGCGGCAGACAACAACAAGCACAAATCTTTCCCTGTTCCAGGTGCTCGGCAAACTCCGTCGTATGTCAGCAGCCAGTCGTGCCCGTGCTCTGGCAGAGCGCTTACCGCCCGGTGCCACCATGGAATATTTTCAGGCACAGCTGCAGGGCCCGGCACCCAAGCGTGCGGCTGGGCGGGGTGGCCGGCGACCGCCGGATAAGCAGCAGCTGCCGGACTTGTGGCAGGGTGCTTTGGCGTCGCGGCAAGCAGCTGGAGGCCCGGCATCAGCGGCGATGAAGAACAAGTATCGAGAGCAGGTGCTGGCAGACAGGGCTCGAGCGCGGCGTCGCATGGGCCAGCCTGCCAATCGCACCAAAGCTGGCGAGACTGTGGACAACACGACTGGGCTGCCGCCGGCGAAGCGTCGGCGGCTGGCTGAGAACTTCGAGCGCTGGTGCCTCTATGACTCGTGGAGCCTGTGCACAAACTGCGGCCTCCTCGCACCTTGCGACCTCACGGAGAGCAGCCTGAGCAAGCCACAGCAGCCCACCCATTCCTCGGGCAAGTGCTCCAGGTGCCAAGCTGTCCGGGTGCAGCCGGTTGTGACAGTGGCAGATGTGCCAGAAGCATTGCGAGGGCTTAGTTCAGAAGCTGCGCAAGCCTTGTCACCTCTGGAGATCGATGTGGGGCCGGTCGTTCGCGCCGAGCACAAGTCCGGGTACCGTCAGAAGACGACCTTGATCCGCTTCCGCTGGCAGACGACGGCGGTGAAGAAGCGCCTCAAGCTCTTACAGGCAAGGCGTTCCATGAAAACTACCTATGTATGTGTATAAGTGCATTTTCTAAATATACCACAATATGCAAAACCTGCGGATTGTGCATTGACCAGGATGTGGACATGCGGGCGAAGGCCCGTGCTGCCTACGACTTCCTGCTGGCCTCGGAGGACACTCCGTACGCGACCTTCGTGGCCGAGCACAAAGAGTTTCTGCGGGATCACCCTGGCGCAGATGAGCTAACTCGTCGTCGCCGGCTGCAGTTCATTGAGCGTGTGGGCGTGGAGTGCGCTCTCTGGCCCGTCCTCTTCTGGGATGTTAGGCACACCTTCACGCACGAGCGTGCCACGGATCCCAGGCGGGTGATTCGTCAGGAGCGGGCCCCAACCCTGGAGCAAGTGCTGAACACTGGTCGGCGCACTGCCTTTCCTGCTGCCGAGAGCGACAACGACAGTGACGAGGAAAGCCAGGATACCCACGAAGAGGCTGTGGAGGACGCTGGCACCACGCGACACAGCATGAAGCGGCTCTTCGCTGCCTTGGCACTGGGTCGCCTGCTGGGCTACGCCGCTGACTTCCAGCTGCTGCAGTTCGTGTACGACTTGAACCTCTGGAGCAGCATCGGCTCCAAGAAGAACCTGCAGC